TATAAGAAGGACCCTCAGTTCACGGACTGACCAGTTAGAAGAAAAAATACAAAAGACAAAAGTAAACCATGATTTTTCATGACAAAAGGGTTATCCCACAAGGATTCATACCTTACATTGAACTGTTCACAGTTCATAAGTGAACTGGGAAAAGGCATAAATGACGATGTGACAACATTTGAGAACCGGATCTAATAAGTCAGATCTAAAGCTGATTGAAAAGCACTGCGAGAGACTTCCACAACACTGTGCGAGTAGTGGTAGTTGAAAAGCAGTGTTCCAAAGTGCAGCGTAATGCACATGGGGGTTAAAACATACAGACATGATGACAAACTCTAAAACTAGTATCAGGGGGAAAACCCTTAAAGTCACTGTGAGTAGTTCTCTGAACAAAGGTTCAGTGCTCAGAAGTTATTAATAGCACAGGAAAGGTAAACTTTTTTAAGAAAAGCATAAGAAAACATGATGTAAAGCACATCTATATTACTGTATATATAACTTGTGTGTTGTCTTCTGTTCTAGTTTCCATTCTAGTTCTCAAAGCCCATACAGAAGGATTGCAGTAACCTTCAGGACTGGATAACCAAAACTCAGAAAATCAAAATGGCAAAATGATGGGATACAAATACATTAGCAGCTTTTAAATACAAAATACTACCAATGTCTTAGCGAGTCTGCGAGACTCAGATTACTGGAAGCTGGGAAGGCATACAGAAGGGATTATTGCTACCTCCCTGCCCTTTTCGGATATTTTTTCATCATATACTACATGGGCCTGTGGTCTCATCTACTACAGCCATTACTATGATCCTAAATACATTTGTTAGCTGGGAAGATAAATGATTGAGGGGCTGATAAATAGTAAAAAATAAATTTGAGACAAAAGGCGTATTTAATTAATACTGTGTCATTGGCGGCTACTGTATACTATAGCCCAGAGGAAACTTCCAGCTCAGGAATTCACCAGAACACAGTTTGTTAGAATCTGAGGAGCTGTGCTAACAAAAGGAATAGGTGATCGAAGAGCTGAATCCCTCCTGCCTGTGAATGATTTTGTAAAACTGTGGTGGAATTAGATTTAGATAAACCTAAGAATTCCTATGCTGAGAAGCTCAGTATGTTACTGAAGTTCTGGTTTTCTTATTTCCACCCTAATTTTATTATTTCCTAACTCCATCTGTGCCTCAGTGGCAAAATCCTAAATTATCTAGATTCCAGAACTGTATTTACAGCCAAATAGGAAATGACAGCATTGGCTGCTGGCTCACTATGCTGAAGAAGTTGAGCAACTCTGAGTTTTAAAAGAAAGCCAGATGGTCTAATGAGATCAGGAACCAGGAGTTCCATTGTCCTGCATGGTTGTATTTCTTAGGGCATCAAGTTTTCTACCTGCAATGCAAGGCAGAATACTTCCCCATCCTTAAGAAAACTTTTGGATTAAAGTACTAGTAAAACTATTGCTTAGCTTTACTAGCTATGTCCATCAAACAGTAAAAAATTTATACTCAGCCGAATTTCAGTCAGCCTAACTCACCAAAATCTTTTTATACTTCACGCTACAATACTGCCAGCACAACTGAGAAAAAAAAAAGAGACTATCCTGAGTCAAATTCCTATTGATATTTCCATATATAGAAAAGACTTGTGCACTGAGTTTTGAAGAAAAAATACTTTTTAAACCCTTGCCACCAGACCTCAAAAATTTTATTGTCAAACCCCTACAGTGCTTCTGGCTGGGTAAAGTATCAAGGAGAAGGTGACTGTGACTTTGGCCTCACAGAAGATGCAGAAACGAGTAGATGCAAGGGAATTACGGGGATGATGCATCCACAAACAATCACTAGCGGCTCTTACTACAGAACGTGAATGCCCTTGCTGCTGATTAACTTCTTGTTGCTAACTTCTGTCTTAGGCTCACTCCAGTTTTACGCATAAACCCTGAGTGTCTATGTGGGCAATCAAAATTATTAAATCAGTGTGCAGAAGATGAAGTGTGTTCAACTGCCACGTTAATGTTTCTTTGAAGGATAGAGTGTCCTTGGTTCCTGGTAGCCTCTGATAGTATATTGTGTCTGGTTGGAACGGGGTTAATTTTGCTCACAGCAGCGTGTATGGTGGTGTGTTTTAGCTTTGTGACCAAAGCAGTGATGATAACACACTCATGTTTAGCTGTTGCTGAGCAGTGCTCACACAGCATCAAGGCCTTTTGTGTTTCTCACTCTGCCCCCGCAGCACGTAGGCTGACGTGAGCTGACCAAAGAGATCTTGCACGCTGTGTAACATCATTCCCAGTTATGAAACTGGGATGGGGGGGAGTTTTTGCAAAGTTGCCATTCCTTGCAGACTTGCTGGGCTTCAGTCTGTAGTGGGAGGTGGTGAGTGAGTGCCTTTCCACCACTTACTTATTTTTCTTCCTCCTTTTTTTTTTTTTTTAATTGACTTATGAAACTGTCTTTATCTTGACCCATGCCTTCTTCTTGCTTTTGCCCTCTTGATTTTCTCCCCCATCCCACCTCAAGGTGAGTAAGTGAGTAACTGGGTGGGTGTTTAGTGGCTAGCCAGCATCAACCACCATCCATTGGAAAGATGAATGAGAAGGAAGTGGGATGCATCTTACTAGATTATTTGCTTTGCCATGGCTCCCTTCTATGCTGTATGTGGAAACTACCAAATCCCTGTTGTTAGGGACTGGGTAGAAGAAGTCACAGTTTATTTTGGTTTTCCCATCTGCTGGTGTCAGCAATAAGGCAGTAGGGATCTCAAAAGGATTAACAAACTGATAACAGTTCCTGTTGTGTGAACCAGCTGAACAAAATGTGCTGCTTCTTCCAACCTCTAATGCAGGCATAGGCAACCTATAGCTCTTAAATGACATGAAACTCATATGTGGCTTCTGCAAGAGCTACACCATATGCCAGATAGCAGGCAGTGCAAGTGTGGAAGTTCTGCACCTTCTGTGTGTCCAGCTCTCAGAAAAAGCAAACAAACTGATGTCACCGAACCCAAAATTCCCCTACCACCCTGGACCCAGCTCTACTCTCCAGCAGAATCCTTAACCTAGCCTATAATGCCAATTTAGAGTTTGCTTTCTCTTTAGTGTTATGAACTTGAGCTTTCAATTCTCGTCGTCCTTACTCTCAAACAGTTCTGTTTGATTCTGCACAGCCACAGTCCGATATCATGACAGCCAAACCAAAGTCTTCCTCTGAATGAAGTTTTCGTACCCTTGGGTAAACCTTTGGCAAAACAGGCTCCTCCACCTACCCTGTGGTACCTGAAATACTGCATGAATTTGAATTTTACAGGTGTGTGAGCTTTTCAGAACTGTCTGGAAGCAAAAAACATGGAAAGTTGGGGGGGGTTGTTTGTTTGTTTGTTTGCTTGTCATCTCAGAAAAGGAGACTTAAATTTTAGGAAGTAAATTTAATGCACTCTTTAAATAGATCTTCAATAGTTAGTTAGTTAATAGAGACATGTTTATCCCAGAGTCTGTTCCAGACTGCATTTTTAGCATTGGAAGATGTATGTCATATGTGTTTCAGTTCTTGTGTTTATGAAATAGGAACAATCATATTTAGACATCATTAACAGGACTGTCTCAAATCTAATTGGTAACTGTGGGCACTCTGAGTATTAATTATCATTATAATTTTTACTTCATTAGTACAAAATTATAGTTGCCAGTGCAAACAAAACTTTTTTCATATAACCTATTGAGTCCATCGCTTGCTATGGATTCTTTGGCATAAGACAAAAGCCAGGAGCTGTAACTTTAGCATGCTTGTTACAGAAGCAAGCATGCTTGAAATAGAAATAATTGTGCTATCAGTGATAACAGAAACAATAGCAGTAGAGTGGCATCGGATTACCAATTTGTTCTCAGTAGTGAAATTCTGAACACCATGTGGTGAACTGAATGCTTAAGGAAAGGAAGACAAATTAAGATAAAGAAAATTTGTTGAAATGATGACTATTGTGCTGGTTGTGCTAAGAATCTATTTTAAATGCCAAGCTCACTGCAGTCTGCTTACTCTTGCTGAGTTGCTTTTGATTCTAATCATTTCCAGGTAGAGATCAAATTGTTCTCTTAAGAAGTGTCTGAAATGAAGCCCTAACTTCTTTGGATCCGTGTCCCATTCTTCATTCTGTTCTGGTGTCCACACCTCAGGTTCCCTGCCCATCATTAATCTTCCCTTCCCCCAGTGTCCACATCTCCCTCCTCCTGCCTCCCAGCTACCAACTGGATGAGAACCAAGGGGATGTGGCTGCTTTTCAGCTCGGCATGTGCTAGCTGCCAGCAAACTCAACATCATAAATAACCTTTGAGCTCAGGCAGCAGCCTTTCACTCTCAGTAATAATATCAAGGAAGGAGTCTTCCTTCACTGAACTGCTGTGTTTCTTAAAACTTGGAGGAATTTCATAGCCTGAAGTTTTCTATTCCTGAGCCAAATGTAACTGAAATGATGGATTGAAAAGTTATTAGACAGGGTCTGACAAGATGGGTAGGCAAACAATATATCACCTAAGCCTTGTTTCCTGAGGCTTACAATCCCAGAGAAATGCCCTTTGACAATGTAATAGATACAGTTCCCAGTAGTTTATAAATAAAGTTTAAGGATGGAAGGTCTGGACAATAAGCAAAATATTGGTCTCGGGTGTTTCCATACCATTTACAACATTCAAGGGAAATCTCCAAAGTCATTTAGTGGTAGCAGAGCAGAAAAGCTACAGTGGTTTTGATTTATTTAGATATATGCAGAAATTAGTAGAGACAGGGATCACATTTCAGGAGCTAGGACATGTGTCTTTGTTAACTGTCTCTGCTTCAGCAGTTAGGCACCATTTCCCAAACAAATATAATTGTCGGTCCTTGTCAGAGGGGAGGAATTATTTGTAAATTTAAATAAATAAATAAATAAATAAATAAGTATTCATAGGTCCATTCTATGCAACGCTACTGAATGAAATATTTTCACTGCCTTTAGGACTTCCTGCATATGAAAGATCTTCTACATGAACATCCACAAATGGGAATCATATGCAGTGTATGTATGACTGTATTTTCTGCTTTTATTAAGTGCATTCTTTTTTCACATTTCCAACATCCTAGATTGTATCTGACCTAAATTCAGATACAAAAAGAACTGGTTTTGGCACAGTGCAGGTAACATGATACCTGTTCTAAAGTCTGATAAAATTGCGTGCTTTATTTTTTTGTGTAATCTCTTTTCCTTGATATCACTTGAGTATTGATACCACATGTCATCCTTATCCCTTCAAAAACACATAAAAAGTGAGGGGGGGAAAAAAGGGAAAAAAAAAAATCTGGACACAAATTCACCCTGACATGATTTTGGTGGAAGGAAGACAAAGACATGTGCTGAACTCAGTGGCATTACTGATCAATTTATTTATGACTGTCAATAATTTGAATGGCATTGAAAGTATGTCAGCTCCCTGAAATGGTAGGAAAATCCACCTAGGGTCAAAAATACGTTTAAGAAGAACTTAAGGTCTGAAAGCAATCTGGTGGTCATACTAACTCTGGAAAAACTGAAAATAGAGGAGTACATTTGGTAAATTACTGATGAGGAAACAATATGCAGTGACAGTAGCTCATATTGGTCAGGCACCAGGGGACATAATATGTGCTCACAGAGAAAGGAGTTAGTAGAGAAGGTCTGCACATCTATATGAGAAACAATATTGCAAATACAGACAAAATATGGAAGAAAGCCTCAGAATATGGGGAATTTAATTTCCCAGCTCAAACTGATCTTGTATAAAAGAAAATTTAAGAGCTGTGCCCTGACCACTGCAGAGCTTTTAGCAGGCAAATCATCTAAAATCCCCTTCAGGAGCTCTTTCCTACATACAGAAGCTATATGGACTTATTTCATGCACTATTAACCAAACAAGTTCAATTTTTGTGTGTGGTTTCTCTCACATTGACTTAGAGCTATTTTTATCTGTTTGGTTTATGGTTGTACGTTTTGACAATAAGCACAAATTAAGTTTGCAAACAGTTGCTCCATCCAGAGCTGTTACTCCTCCCTAGCCCTTTATCACTGACTGGTTGCAAACATTTCTCCCCACAGTTCTGCCAGCTTGATCCCAAACAGGCCCCTCCGTGCCAGGGAGACTGGAGAACAATCTCCAGTGAAGTGTCCAAGGAGATGATGAGCCAAGGAGCACATGCGGGTGCAGTAACCTTCTGCTGGATAGTGATGAGCAATGAGACATTTTATCTTCATCAGTTCCAGCTATGGCAGGAAGGAAACATCAATCTGCTGCCCTGTTGATGGCTAAAGCAGTATAAACAGATCTAACCATGCTAAACCCTTGACTGCACACAGCCATGTGTACTATACTTGCTATATTGATTTGAAAATCAATAATGCTAAGTGGATAACCCCCCTGTGCAAACATATTTATAGCACTCTGAGGGATTTTTTTTCACCAATGTGATATTCCTATAAATTTATCTCTAATACCATGAATGATTTTATCATAATCTACAGCATGAAGTAGTGTTGCATTCTGAGCCAATATTTAAGCATTAAACACAGGTATCTTATCTCTATTTATCATCTCACAAGGCTGTTTTACTTTAATCTTATCTAATTACACTGCAGTGTAAAATAGTGCAATTTTTAAGTAGTTTTAGGAGGTCTTTATTAGCCAAATGAAGCAAAAGGAATACCAAAAAAACTAATGAGCAGAGCCAAATGAAGCTGCAGGATAGCTGGGAGGATTGGGCTGTAGGTTAGGTTATTCCCATGCTATGTGACATGGAATGAGCAACTCTGAGGCATGCTGGTAGCCCCCCACTGTTGCCAGGTCTCTTGAATGCCCTTTTGTCGTATTTGAAAGGATATAACTTGAAACCAAGTAAATCAGCAGAATAAATAGATAACTTCTGATATTAAAATCCTTCAGTCACTGTATTTATTACAAAATACACAATATATTTCTAAATTATACCCCCTATTTAAAAAATACTTTCCTTGAGAAACCCTGCCAGAACCATCATAAAGGTGTGCTCTTCTCTTCCCTTTCACCTGAATCACAAAGTCCTCAGAACTTACTGTCCTGCTGAATGGGGTGAATTGCAAAGCTATGTACAAGCAAAACAGAACCGATACTTGCAGACAAGTATTGCACCTCTGAGCACTTATCAGTGCCCGTGGCCCCGGGGTGGGCAAGTCAGCCGCCCAAATTCCTAACAGAATTAAGAACTGAATGACAGTCTTCTCCAAGGCAGCAGGCAGAGAGACTTCAGAACTAGTTCAATACTTGGTAAAAGCTCCACCTAGGCACTCCACGTGTCTTAGGAATGCAAATATTTTGCAGCACTCTGATCCTGGTAGGAGGTTCCTTCTTTGTATTCTTAAAACTAATCCAAATCCAATCATTTTATCCCGTGGGACAATTTCTGCATTAAAATAGGAAACTCAGATATCTTTCTTAGCCAGAGGATTTGAAGCTGAAGTCATTCTGAAATCTCCACTGTTACTTTAATATATATTGTGTGTGTATATACATATATATATATATATATATATATATATATATATATATATATAAAAGAAATGGCCTGCTAATATAAAATATAGCAAGACTGGTATATGCAGGCAAGAAGATTAATTTCTTAATTTAAGATTTAAGCAAGTTATATACAAAAAATTTTAGATGCAACTTAAGAAAGATGGTACATTAAGACATTAACCCATCTAGTATTTCTAGCCAAGAATCAGTTGATTGGAATAAAAACATTTTGACAGACAAGTACCAAAAGGAGGTGTCAGGAGCTGACATCCTGATAATGATGGTATATTGTATAACGGTGTCCCAGAGTAGGGGCAAATTCTAGCTCTGCACACTGACAGCCATAGTAATTATTTAATCCTGCTGGAGTTAATGGAATTATGGCTACCCTTCCCTCTTCTTCATAGAATCATAGAATCATAGAATAGATTGGGTTGGAAAAGACCTCCAAGATCATCAAGTCCAACCCCTGATCCAACTCCAATTACTATATCATGGCACTAAGGGCCACATCCAATCTCTGCTTAAAAACCTCCAGGGATGGTGAATCCACCACCTCTCTGGGTAGGCTGTTCCAATGCTTGATTACCCTCTCTGTAAAGAATTTCTTCCTAACATCTAACCTAAACCTCCCCTGGCAGAGCTTGAGCCCATGTCCCCTTGTCCTGTTGTTGGTTGCCTGGGAGAAGAGACCAACCCCCACCTGGCTATAACCTCCCTTCAGGTAGTTGAAGAGAGTGATGAGGTCAC